GCCCAGAGAATCCTGCACGCCAGGAACCAGCTGATCGGGAGGTGCGGGGAGGGAGGGGAAGGTGCTGATCGGCTGCGCTGTTGGTGGGCAGGAGGCGCTGGGAGCCGGGGGGGGGGAGGGGGAAGGAGCTGATGGGAGGCTGCTGACGTATTACTGTGGCTCTTTGGTAATGTACATTGGTAAATTCTGGCTCCTTCTCAGGCTCAGGTTGGCCACCCCGCCCTATAGTGTCGGTAGCTGCAAGAGCTGGAAATGAAGTTGCTCTGAGCCTCCTGCTCTTTTCTCCACATGACCTTCTGCTGAGCGGGGGCAGGAATGGAATAACTGGGAGCTCCCTAACCCCAGCATCAGTCTGCTGGGAGAGTCTAGGGTTACAATAGCTGGGAAGATTCTCTGCAAGGATTTGCAGTCCTTGCCCAGTGCTGTGTCTTCTCTGTATAAATGCATGTTAAAGTCTGCATATATGTGATGTGTGTGGGATGAGACCAGCCTTCTATGATCTCACAAAGAAAGGCAATATAGGGAGTATGAGGACCAGGTGTGGGCCTAGAGGAAAATTATGGGCTTGAAAAGCTAAAGTTTGGAAGGTCAGTTCATTTTAAGAGTGATCACCAGACTCTTCCTCCTCCCACTTAATGAACTCCTAGAACAGTTTGTGATGTCATACATTGGACCATTCTTATGTTAGTAACGAGTAGGGTTTATTAAGCAGTACCACATGAATTATGTTATGAAAATGAACAGACAAACAAACAAAGGCAGTGCTTCCTTAGATTATGGGTATTTTATTCAAATGTTATGTTGACAAAAGAAAGAGAAAGTAAAACCTAGAAATCTATCAAGAGAAAAATCATTCAGAAAAATAATCCTGGAGAATAAATCCTCTCTAAGGTCTTTACATATGTTATTGAATAATGAATTAGTTCCTTATAAACTGCTTACACAAAGCAAACCATATGGTGTTACGTTCATTTGGTGAAACAGCATTGGCTGCAGAATAAGCAAGATACTCCTGTGGTAACTGTGATGGAATAAACCATTACACTGAGTCACAGGTGTTGACATGACCCAGTCACTGTACGACATTAAACATTTAAACATGATTCACTTTTTAAAAGGCTACAAGCTGAATCAATGGGAAGGAAATGGCTAAGAGTAACTAAATCAAATTGGAATGATTAAACATTCTAGTGTTCTATCAACATCCCTCCCCCAGGATGGCCTGGTTCAAGACACTCATGGCATCCAGAGACTGGTTGGCTGCCCAGGCCAGGATACTGGCGGCTATCGGGGATTGGCAGATGTGAGTGCTCTTTTCTGTTGATCATCTTCTACACAGAGGCTGAAAACTGGAGTCTGGTTCTCATCTGTTGAAATCTCTAAGCAAGACGGAATGTTCTGGTGAAACAAGCAACAGCTGAAGTTAATTTCTTTTCTGGAGGTTGGCAGCTTAACATTTGCACTCTAGATTCACTCTGGGATTTAATGGACCTGGGAGGAACTCACTGTAACTGCAATCACCTATAATATTAATTGCTTCAAATCTCATTCAAAACCAGGGCAAATTACAAAGGGTTCCCAGGCATGTTTAATGGTCACAGGGACTCATCATTAGATCTGGTTGGGAGTATTCCAACTACATGGTTATTCATCGGAAAATGCTGATTTGTCAAATCCAAAATATCTTGTGGAAACATAGCGGCTGTGAAGAAACTTTTGCTGGGAACATCTCTCATGTCCACCATGAGGGGGTGGAAAAAGGAGAGGGAGAAAGAGAGAGAGAGCGACCCCACCCCAAAATAGCCAATAGCCTGTTGCTTTGGCCATTCCCCTGGGATATGAGAGACTCAGGTTCAAGCCCCTGCTATGTCTCAATCAGGAGCAGGGATTTGAACCTAGGGCCTAGACTACACCTAAAACTTTGAAAAATATCATAACATGCGTGATGTACTTAGGTCAACCTATCCCCCACTGTAGATGCAGTGCAGTGGATTAAACAATTCTCCTGTCGACATAGCTGCTGCCTCTTGAGGAGGTGGATTTACCACAGCAACAGAAACCCCCTTTCCGTCACTGTAGTGTCTACACTACAGAGCTACAGCGACGTATCTGCAGAGCTGCCTCTGTGCCGCTGCATTGCTTGTAGCATAGACACAGCCTGGATATCCCAGAGGAGTGTGTGAGGGCCCTACACACCAGGCTGGTGGCTACTCTCGGGAGGGTGCTCTCGCTCACTCTCTTCCACCTCCTTGTGGTTTTCACACAAAAACTGAAAAGGTCTCAGGTTTGTTCTAATGCAGAATGAAAACACATCTTGGAATTTCCCATGGGATGGAAATATCATTTATTGGCTGGCTCTTCCCTTCATGCCCTGACTGTGTATTACAGATCACCCTGTGACATGGGGTGATTTGGAAAGGGGAGAGACTTCAGGGGAGTTCAATGAAACATTCAATAGCCCCGTTACTAGGAGGGAATATAAACCCGTGCAGATGTTGGCAAGGAAAGGGGTTAATCAGCTCTGCTGGGGGGATGGGAGGCCTGACAACAGTTTTGCTAGTGTAGATGGACTCTGAGAGAAGGATGTGCGGTGTAGCGTTGGAAGCTGTGTCTGCAAGGGAGGGTCAGGAAGAAGGCTCTCTAGGTTGAGGATGGGATGTAAGAGAAGAGAAGAACTGCGGGGTTTCTCTGGAATTTGTCTAGCCATGCTCTAGAACTTGCTTTGTACTTGGGCTGAGGAAAAACCCTGTTGTTTTTGTCCCTGAAAGGGACAGGACTTTTTTACATTTATGCTGTTTTGCAATAAAGCAAACCACAGAGGTGTTTAAACTCCACCAAGATGTGAAGAGCCTTTTTCTCCTCCAATCAACCAGCCCTTTGATCTCCTCAGGCACTGAGAGATTTCCAATACAGTGTTAGTGTCCTCATGAGCTCATTTGGAAGTCACTGTGTGTTACAGCTCAGCTGCAGGAGAGAGGCTCTCAGAATCGCTGAGATTTCCAAGGAGGTCAAGGAACTGTCCCACTCAGACACTGAGTTCTGCACACTGGCGGATTACCGCACAAGCCAACGGGGCCTGTGCCCAGAAGCCCCGGCCAATTTGGGGGCCCCCGCAGGAGCACTCTGGTTCCACTCCCTGCTGCTCCTTCCCTCCCCGCTCTTCTTCTCCCTGAGCCCTGCCCTTGGCCAGGCCAGAAGACGGTGCCTGGGGTAGGGAGAGTGTATTCCCCGCACGGTCCTCTGTGTGGAGGTAGGCATGCTGCTCATCCGAGCCCCTCGCCCTTCCCCCCGCCGCCTCCCTGCGCAGAACTGGCCCAAGCCCTGTCCTCCGCCCCTCATGGAGCTGGCTCGAACCTCTCCCTCACCCTGCGCGGAGCTGACCCAAGCCACTCACCTAAGCTCCCTCCTCCCCTGTGCAGGGCTGGCCTGAGCCCTGCCACTCACGCCCGCCCCCCTCCTTTGGCAAAACTGGTCATTTGTCCTGTTTTCTCTTGCCATGTTGGTCACTTGACAAGAGCAAATGGGACAAATGCCCAGTTTTGCCAAAAAAGTCGGGATATCTGGGGCCAAAAGGCGATGTACGGTCACCCTAGGCCAGGTGTCCCCAAACTTTTTCAGTCACCCCCTCTTTTCCCAGTCTGTGCCCCCCTGGGAGCCGGGGCCAGGAGCAGAGCCAGAGAAGGGAGCAGGAGCTGGGGACCACGGTACGACCGGGGGCTGTAGTTGGGAGCAGGGCCAAAGAGGCAGCTGGGGCCGCAGCCAGGAGCAGAGACATGGACGGGAGCAGAGCAACAGCTGGGGCCGGAGGCAGGGCTGTGGGGGCCTAGAGTGGACTGGGGGGCACAGCAGGGCTGGGTGGCGCTCCCTGCCCACCCCCTGTGGGAGCTGACTTAGGCCCCACCACATTTCTGAGTGTTCCTCCGTGTCCCCCTAAGCTGTGGCAAGAGCCTCCCAGGGAGCCTGGGCAGCTGTAGGGAGCCCTGGGCCCTCCACGTGTCCTGAGCAGGCGGCGGTGTGCATGAAAGCAGCCCCCATCCCATGTCCCTGTCCCCAGAAGGTGCACCACCCAGAGCAGGTGGAGGGTCTGGGGCTCCCCGCAGCAGTCCAGGCTCCCATGGCAGCTCTTACCAGGGCCCAGCTTCTATCCAGGCCAGGGCCTTGAGGGAAGAGGAGGAGCAGGGGGTGGGGCCCTATGGTGAGGGAGAGGGCCCCAATAAATCTTAATCCGCCTCTGGTTCTGCATGCGACTCTGGATCATTTCTGCATGCACTTTCCCCCTCCCTAAAGTTCTACTGACCTGAAGGATGGACTGGAGTTCAAGAGAATATAGCATTATCCATGGAGCAAAGTGCCTGGGCCAATAATCATCTTCATCCTTGTCCTCATCATTGACAAATGTTCTCCAACAGTAGCTATAAGCTGGGAAAATGGAGCAAATCAGTCATGTGCTGAAGGAGGTATCAGTGGACTAAGTATACACAAAGGTCAGTCAATCTCAAGGGAGCAAGACTAATTTGAGCCATGCAGAATGCTTCTGCTAGGCAGGACCAGCTACAGTACTTGGGCTTCATATTCTCCTGGCCTTTTCCATCTTTCTGCCCAGGGAAGGTCTCATTAAACCAGCCTTGCAAAATTTCACTCACTTATTCACCTGGGACAACAAAGAGTCCGGTGGCACCTTAAAGACTAACAGCTACTGGCTTTTGGTCACTGACACTCAGGGGAAAGTTTGAAATCAAAGACCTAAAGGAGGAAAGCTCTAAATCCCACTGCCCTATCCCCCAAGACTTTGGGGCCAGACTGAAGCCACTGACCTAGAAGTGAAAAGATTCCAGAGTCCATTCTACAACCTCAGTGGAGCCATCCGTGACCAGGGCTGAATTGAAACTAATGATCTAGAGGCAAACTGCCCCATGTCCCATCTCTATTCCATCCAGTCCCCATAACTCATTACCTGGGAGGTCCATGACTCGGATGGACACTCCAATGTTCACCAGGCTCCGTAGACCCTGACGATTGGTTTCCTCTTTGTGCCAGTAGAGCCGTGCTACATAGATAACTAGGTTCACATTAGGCTGTTCTTTCAGGAAATCCCTGATTTCCTTGCAGCAGTCCGCACAGGGACTCCAGGACATGTACCAGGTGATGGAGTAGTGGACAGAAGGATCAGATCTTTGCTCCTGAAAGACATCTTCTATGAAGTGGATTTCAGCATGCTCCGTTCGAGTGCTATGGCAACAGCTCTGCCAGGACCTTTTGCTATTGCTCCACTTGATTTCATAGAACATGTATTGCACCCTTCGAAGGACACTTGGGTCATAACCGTCTATAAATGTCTCCTGGAGTATCTTCCCCCTGAAACATGAGAGAGATTCCAAAGAGTCACTGACTGCAGCTTTATCACTAAGAGCTTGCCAGACACAGAAAGTTAAAAATGAGAGGGAGGGGAAGGAGGCACAGATAAATGGAAACGGAACTCACAGAAGGATAGAGGGAGACTCAGAGATAGTGACTGGAGAAAGGAAAGCGAGATGGGGAAGAAGGAGAGTTAAATCTAGTATCACACGGATGAGAGGGGAGTGAGATCTGAATCTTCCCAGCTCCCACTTTGCCTGTAAATCTTGTGGAAGATGTGGTGCTTTCATTCTCACCCCTGTGTGATGCCTCTGGATACATGATCTGTGGGAAAAAGAATAGAGTCACCTTGTGCACAGAGAGAAACATAGGGGAAAACAGAAAAAGGGAGGCCTCCCAATGCAGCCTCCCTGGGACCAAGTGACCTATAATTGTTCATTCTCAATGGACAATTCCTATTCAGTACTGCTGAATATTGAAGAAGTTCCTTGCTAATGTGTAGTGTCCTGAGGATAGTGAAGGTGATAAGGGATCATCCTGGTCCCAAATATGGCCATTAATTTTAGCATGTGCACATGCAGTAGAATGCCCATTACTTGTTAAGTAACAGTGAAATAAATAAATAAAATAATAATAATTAATAATAAAGAATTAATAATAAATATCTAGGACATTATCCAAAGCTCATTAAAATCAGACTCAGGCTCTCAATTCTATGTATAACTGTAAGATGCTACCAATATCCAAAGAACTGTTCTTTCATTTATTTTTATTTTATTTTACTTTAAATGTGGATTTCCCATTAATATTTAAAAATAAACTTAATAATCCTTATTAATTTAATTTTTTACGTTGATATTTCCCAGGAGATATAGTTATGTTAGTTCTGTTTTGGAAGAAAATAACATTCTTATTTTCTTGTTATTTTCTTTAAGAACCTTAGAAAACAAAACGAGGGAAACATGGCTCAGGAACATTGAGAACAAACTTTTTCAAATGTAGGACACATTTAAAATTTTCATTACAACCTAAGCGCCAGGATTTAATAAGAAAATCCCTGTGTCTTTGAAATTCCTCCATCAGCGCTTTTTTCTGCCACCATTTTCATGCCCCAATCACTTTCAACTCAAACCTGAAAGCCAAGACAGTGACACGCAGGGAAGTTCAAAAACATGCTGGGACATGCACAAACACGTACTTGACTAGAGCCCGGACCAAAGTCTATTGAAATCAGTGAAAAGACTCCCCTTGACTTCCATGGAATTTGGTTAAATCCAAGGCTTAATTTGTAATGAATGAGGTGCTGGGGCTCAGCCCCACAAGCTCCGGCACAAATTAAGCCCTGGCTGGGTGGCCAGAGAGCAGCGGTTGCTGGCCAGGAATCCAGAGGTGCCAGGGCTATGAACTGCCATGCCTAGAGGTGCCAGGGCTAAGCCCCAGTACAAATTAGGTACTGGTTCAGTTCCATAAAGAACACATATACATTATACACATATTTATACTACTTAGTTACACTGAGGCAAGTTTTCAAATATAGACAAGCCTATACAGACACATACAAACATATGCATAGATACAGAAAAATCTGAATGGTTTATAGAAAGAGGGGGCCAATGGGATGTACTAGTAAAAAACAAATCATTGTTATAACTTGGAAAAACCCAGTATATATATCCACGACAACGTAGTACAATCTACCACAGCTTTAGCTCACCGTTTGTCTTTGTAAGAAGTATTCTTTTAGTACTTATGTAGGAAAATCATTTTACTGTCAGTGATTTTGTTTATCTTTGCTAAGTTAGAAACTAAAAACACATTTTAGATGTAAAACACAGAGATAGACAGCTCCCTCTTATATACATAGAGCCACAATAGCCATGCAGATAGGCATACATATATACGCCCATACAGCTGCATATACATATATTCACCCATAAATTGACATTTGCACACATAAATGCACTAAAATACTGTATACACACACACACACACATTCTCGCGCACACACACACACACACATT